TTTGCAAGCTTGCGCCATTTCCTCAAAACAGCAGTATGTGTGCATGGGTGTGTGTCTGTGTTAATTGGCCAGTTGGTCCATGCAATCATTTGTTTCAACTTTACATTTCTCCCGTAGCCTCATCTGGAACGTATTCGTTTTTCTGGCCCCCGTGGTTGCCCATTCTAGAGCTGAAAGAACTCAAACTCAAATCCCCATGCGCCTCTGAAGCTCAGGAGCTTGGACCTCTTGGTGGCCATGGCTGACTTGCATTCGCGCTTCGCTCCTGCCATGATTTTGATCAGATGGTCTAGGTTCACGACGCATCAACACATGTTTTTGCAGCAACGTTCTTGGTAGGATGGGGGCAGGGATAACCTTGTCCTCGATTGGGGTACAATGGTTGAGAGAGTTTGTGCAGTTGGGGTGGCTACGCTGTGCAAGCTTCAAATTTCTTGATGGTCAGGAAAATATTTAATAAACAACTTTCCATAGATGCGTGCCGCCCTGAGCGACCCTGCTACAGCTTTCGCGTTCTGAAGGCATGGAATGCGCCGCCATGATCCGAGATGGTTCTTGCCATCTGCGCAGAAGAAAAAACCTCTGCTGTGCTGAAGCTATGCGCTGAGAGTTTGGGCAACTCAAGCTGTAGCATTGAACTTGACCCTCCATGAACCCAGCCCTGCCTCCGAAGCCTTCGCATGCCAGGTCTGATGAAGAATGAGCACCTTGCGCAAGCGGCGATTCTCACAACTTGGTGCGCCCTTACCTTGCGCTGTTTTGAGGTCAGGTTTCTGGTTGCTGCTGTAACTTCATGGGAAAATGCTGGAGGGTATACACAACATGTTCCATTCGAAGCAGTTTTGGTCGTGAGTTCTTGATCCTGAATGTGTGGCAGCTATGGCAATGCCTCCTGAGCGGTTGCAGTATGTTCTGCGGCGACTTTGGAATATTGGAGCCCCGGGAGTACCCTGCTTCACATTTGAAACTCTTTCCAAGCACTTTGGTCTTTGTCCCACTACAGCGCAAAGTCCCATAGAGCCCGTTTCGAAGCAGGTCTAAGTACATATAGGGTAGTGCCCCCGGTCTGTAACAGGTGGATAAATGAGTATAGTATACAATTATATATAGTATACATATATATACAAGTATATAGTTGTGTATATATATATATATGTTATAATATAGCCCGTGCTATGACCCTTAATATACGCTGTTACAGGCTGAGGGCAGTACCAAGGGTTGTACACTGAAGTCACGCGCCCAGGTTTTGATGTTGATTGTGATTCTCCTATCAGCCACTCACGGGCTGCAATGGGACCAGGCGAGGGTTGATGGGTATAAGTTTGTCTTTATTTGGATGGTTTCAGCGCGGATCTTCCTAACTTCCTAAGCATGCATCCCCTGTACTATTCCATGGAACTTGAGACACTTGAAAGCTTGAAACAGTGTGTAAAATCAAATACCATCGCCCTCTGCAGATCTACGACGTCATAGAGGTCTTTTCAGGGGCCGAAGTATTGTCGGATGCTGCGCGGGAGCTCGGGCTAGCAGCAGCGTCTTTGGAGGTGGTGAATTGGGCTAGATACAAGGCCCAAAGGGCCAAATCAGGGAGACCGCTGAAATGCCGCAACGGCCTTGACCTATGTGGCCCTGCTGGATTTGGGTTACTCGACTACACAGAATGCGGTATACAGGCTGTCACTCTTCCCATGTACTATAATGTTCTGGCTGTTCACTGCTGCTCATTCTGACCTGTATAGAAGTCTTGTAGGTCTGGGCTTACATCCGTCTGAGGCTCTTGCTGGCCACCATTCTCAGAGCTCGGGGGCCATTCGTGGTATCCTTTGGCCTAGTTTGCTCAACGTTCGTATCAGTCAGCCGTGGCTCTACCTGTAGGCATTACTTCCTGCCACTGGGCAATGAGTCGGCCCCATCAGTTCAAATGGGGAATTTGCTATGTACGAGGTCCCCGGGGAATGAAATCAGATTTGCTTGTGTAATGTAATCTTCTGGAAGTGTTCTGGGCACCCTGCTAGGATGATATTGGCTATATTCCTCATAGAGGCATGCGGGGGAAGCTGGCTGCTGGAGCAACCAGGGACAAGTTTGGTTTTCCGGATGCCACGCTTTCAGCAGTTATGCCGCCTTCGGAAGGTCCTCTGGGTTTACTTTCAAAGTGAGGTTTTTCGTCCTGGCTTTCTTTACAGGGTGGTTCCAGGGCCTTTGTTAGTAACAGGGTCCCATGCTCCATCGTCTTACTTAACATATTTACTTCCTATTGGTTCCCAACCTTGCGGGGGTGGAATCAAGGTCGTGGCCCTACAAAGCTATACATGTAGTCTGTCCCCTATGTAAGTGTATACCATTGTTGTAGGTCTACCTATGTAAAGGTGGAGCAGAGACCCTGGATCCTAACAATAATCCCAAAGCCCGTCCTTGCTACTCAACCTGTTTAATTGTTACTATATATGCTGTAGCGACCCTGAAGAAAATACATTAGGCACACTCCTACAACGGAACACTATCCCAAAACCTGCCCATTGGAACCCACCCCCCTTCATCCCTGCCCAGATCTTCAAGCAGCGATTCTGGATGGCTGGATGGGGTGCCAAGACGCCCAAGGCTACATTGGTCTGGGGATCATCAAGAGGAATCCGCAAATTCAGCACAACCGGGAGAGCTCTTTACGTAGCAAGGAAGAAGGCTGGATCAGGGCCATTGACAGACCGTTACATAGACAAAGCTGGAAAGCTTCGATGGAAGGGCAATCGCCGGCTCAAAGGGTCCCAGTCAGCCCCTTAGATCCTGTTGTGGCTCACTTGTGTAGTATATAAGGAAGCAAGTAAATGTGCATCTGCCCATGAAAAACCCGCTGAAATACTCAGGGTCTACCCAAAAGGGTTTGGGTCAAGCTTGTGAACAAGAATATATTTCACAAGGAGAAGGAGGATATGCCAGATTCCCGAGATTCTCTGCCGCAACAACAAACCATTCCTAACCTATACAAGCCTCCATAACAACCCTTAAAAACCATTCTTAAAAGCACTTCCGCTCAGGTGCCTCCGCCTGGTACGATCACCCCGGCTGTCATCCTAGCGGATGCAGACTTGTGCGTGGACAACTGGAAGGATGCAAGAACGCACGATGTTTTGCGATACTTGAACAGCCCTCCTGAGTGGCTTGAGTCTTTGCACCTTGTTGCACCAAAGAGTGGAGCCTAAAGTGTGTTCTATGGGATTCTTGCTCATGTGCCACCACAGAAATCTTCCTTGTCTAGCCTAAACACAATATGTGGGCTCCATGTTTGCCTCAAGTGTGGCTCCATACACGGGCCTTGCAAGCTTCTTGTTGTCTTTGTAGGGACAACAGGATCTAAAAGCAGAACCATTCGGGAGATAGAGAGAGTAGAGAGTGTTTTAATAGGGTTCTGAGGAAATTCCAAGTGGAAAGCTACTCGGGCCTTTTCGGGATTATTCGGGGTCTATTCGTGATAATTCAGAAATTACTCAAACCCTGGATTTCAGGCACTGTGCCTGAAATTTTGTAAAGTGCCGTAAATACCTGCGAAAGTGCCGTAAAAAAGCGTAGGATTCCTAGCAAAATTTCAGGCACTTTGGCTGAACCAGAAAAAAGTCTCCCGAAAACTGTTTTGAAAAGAATTATTCAGTTGCAGCGGCCTTAACCCCGAAATCCTTATCCTAGATAATCCTTAAAAAATCATAGAATGTCTTGGGTTCTGTCAAGCTGTTGTGGAATACACACTCAGCATGATTGGAAAGCCCTGGCCTGCAACTCAAATTCGTATGCTCGGAGTCACATGCCAAGAAAGCGCAGAAATCTATCTGCCGTGTTCATGTTGGGAGTGACACCACCCACTTTGTACAGGAGTATGAATGCACTTCATGTTTCTTGAGCTCGTGTAAAGATATATGTTCTCTGTGTTTATGGCACAAGGTGTCTTTGTTGACAAGGGTGATAGCTTTCCGGAAGGATGGCTTGTGAAATGGATTCTAGCAGCAGCGCCAAGCCCTCTGTTGCCTCAACTGATCCCATGGGAATGCCCTCCCGAACCTGGTCCTGTGACACCTTGCTTCGCGCTAGCTCGTTCTTGGCAGATCAACAAGCCCAACACAAGGGCAAGCTCACAGGGGCGGATGCTCTGGCAGCTACTTGGTATGGTAAGACGAAGCATTTCTTGGAATATGGCATCAGGGCCCTTCCGCCTTTGTAACTAGCTAAGGCTGCCAAAAAGCGATTGTCATCTCTTGCCTCACCTATGACTACCCCCTTGCCCAAGCATCAGAGAAGCACACCAGCGCCTTCCGACGCTTCGAGCACACCCTCGCCAAAGTCGTTGCCGCCTTCCAAGCCAGATGTGTTGCAGGACATAATCTTCATTCCCGGGTGCATTGATTTATAGAACCTTCTGGAGTGAGATTATTTCACAGGGTCTGCTGTTGTCCTGTTGTAATAGGGATGCTATAACCCTAAACTAACCCTAAATAAACCTATTATACCATTATAGCTACATAACTATACGGACAACTACACACCCAATTTGATATGTGCTTCCACCATTGGATTTGTAATTGATTAAAGTTACATTGTCTATAGGAACACCTCCCCATAGCAGTCTATGTATGACCCCGAACCTGGTGACTTCTGTGATTCAGGAGACTGAGAAGCCAGATGATCATAATGGAGCACCGGAGCCGGCGCTTTGGATGCATGGACCATCAAGCCTATTCAACCTATTACAATCTTTTGTGGGCTATGTGATGTTCTGAAACTTCAGCGTCTTGGCGCTTGACATTTCACACACAGTCGATAACATGCTGTGAAGCTGCAGGCCGGAATGGATGCACGATCATCCAACCCAACTGATGCGGTGGAACCGCTGGCTTGCAAGAAGATCTAAACTTCTGTGCATGTCGGAGTGGGTGTGATACATGTAGCACTCAGCTTTTGAGAATTCAACTTAGGTGCCTTCAAAGAAGCTTCCCAAAACCAAACATCAAATGTGGATTGCCAAGCTGGACAACACATTGCGAAGAATGTGCACCCCCTCTGGGCGTACCGGAAAGCTTGAAGTGTCAGCTGAAGTGCGAGCACAGTGGCTGAAGGGGGGAACCCCTCGGAAAAACTTGATGGACATCCTTGTGAAGTTCAATGGAGACAAGGACTGCCTTACTTGCCAACTGATTGTTTTCCTGGGCCCTTGAACAACACCTATCTGAAAACCTTCCCTTGCTGCAGGCCGCCTTCAAGAAGAGGGTGGAGCATATCCGAACTATGGCCCGGAGCAAGGACTTGACTATCGAGTCAGGATGGTACACAAAACTCACCATGAAAACCATCCTGGGGTGGGACAAGCTACTTGGCAATATTATTCGCTCTTCCCTCTCCTTAAGACACCCAAGGATGCCCTTCAGGTAATGTTGTTTGGGTGCTGCCCCGACTCTGTAACAGTTGGATAATGTGTCGAATATATCTAAAAATATATATATGCACCCCTTATACATACTTTGACCCCTATATATAATGGACTGTTACACAGTGGGGGCAGTACCCAAAATGTTGTCATTGTTTCCTTATCCTACCGAGGGACACGATCAAAGGGGCCATCGCCTATTGTTCCGCAAAGGAGCGCTGCCAGACCCACATGCGGCACCTCGGCATTCGATTTTGTCATGTGTGTTGAGCTTGTCTATTTCACGAAAGCCACCCAATCTTGAATTTGTTTGCAGGCGATGCAAGTACAATCGCAAGGTTTGGGAATATTGGGTGGATGTCAAGACCCATGGGACATTCAAGGCAACTGAAAGCGAGATGATCGAGGATAAAACAAGTGTTGAAGGCCAGGCTGAGAGCTTCATGCTTGGCCTGGAGCCAGGGCAGCCCTCGGATCCTTACGGTCAGCCCTCGGATGATGAAAACTCCGCGGAGTTGTCAGACTCGGACATGGAAGCAGGGAGTTCCAAGGGAGGTGGTAAGGGCGGGAAGGGCGCAGGCAAGAACAAGGGCTATGCGTCCAAGAGGGTACCCAAGGCTGAAGTTCATGAAGAGCGCGCTCTCGAGGCACACCCATATTTCTTGCGCATGCGTGGTAATTGCCAACTTGTACCCCTGTTATTCCAAGCCCATATAAAGAACCCTGTACAATGAAACCTGAGGTTATATAGGGTTCCGGGATCATAGAGCTTTGGTGGGCTTATATAGGTTTATATACATATATATATATATATTGGGCTACAGGGTTTATAGAGTCCATGTGTGGGTTTATTTTGTGGTTTAGATCGAGCTTATGAAGTGTATTAAAGTCAAACCTTGGGTCCCCTAAGCCCCAATACAAGTGTATAGGAAAGTACAAAGTTTATACGGAATTGTTAAATGTCATTCTAAAAGCCAGTGAGTATTATTAACTAACTTTGAGCCCCGGGCAGGCTGTGGAAAATGTTGCGGAGGTGCTCGCGAATATCCTGCGAACCAAGTTTAGATTGGAGAATACAATGGAGAAGTTGCGGGAGATCCGCAATGAGGAATCCACATCGTGTTTTGGTTGAACTTGATCTAGGCATAAGGGTGGGTGTAGTTCTGGATTCATGAATTGGGGTGAATAACTCAGGGCCCAAACCAAGCTCGAGCAGCTTGGCAGCCAGCTCATGTCCATGCACGATGCTATTGCTGATCTGAAATCCTACTTCGATGGCCACGGTGACCATACGGAAGAGCAACTTGTCTAGAATTGGTCCTCCATAACCCCCTAGAGTAGATGAAAATGCGAAATGACCCAGAACCCTGAACACCCACAAATTCCTCTATAAGCCCTATTCCACGCAGGAAGATCAACGAGCTGGAGACGAAGGTGAAGCAAGTGGAAGCCACGTGCAGCACTTACACCCCACATAGTATAGTCGTGCCCACGCGAAAGCTTAGTATAAAGGTCCAGCCGCGCTATCATGGAGGATGTGAAGATCAAAAAGTGTGTATCCCAGATTGCCAACCTCCTCAAATCCTGATCTGTGTACCATGTGGCCTGCTCAGAACTCTGCTGCGTGCCGGCCAGAAGATGCCTGCCCAGGTCAGGGTTTGTTTCTGCTTGGAACCGCATGTTTGGGTGTAATCTTGGCAGGACAAGCCTCCGGCTTCTGCCAAAGGTGGAGGTAAAGGCGGAAAGGGTAAAGGAGGGGCCAAGGGCAAGGGCAAAGCTGCGAAGTCCAAAGCAAAAGCCAAAAACTGAGGCTCCCTGGCTACATGTTTCTGATGTTTATCAGTTTACTGCTAATGGCCCTGAAATTACTGTAAAATCTTCGGCAAACAGGATGGCTGGCCTCGATTTTGGCGCAATGCCGCTTCCGAGCACGCAGTGAGCTGTGTGCAGTCCTGCCGTAGGCAGGAATGGTTCTTAATTGGGCTTGGCTGTTGAAGCTTCTAGCTGTTGGGGGCCCAGGTCCTTCATAACTTCGTTGGAATGCGTGACTCTAACCACCTTTCATCCTGTAACAAGAAGTGTGCTTCAGGCCCACAACATGCAGCTTTCAAGCCAAAGTGTTAGTGATCGTGCTGGTTTGCCAGCAAACATGCCGCAATGCGTTGCGAAGGGGGCGCACTGGAAAAGATTGTGCTAGAGTCAGAGAACCCATCAACCGGCAATCCCGAGTACAGTCCTTCGCAGGTACATCCACGTCAGCTGGCGGCAATGTTGGTCCTGCTGGGAATGCAGTGGCAATGGCAGTTTCGAAGGGCGTACCTTTTTCTTTATGATGGATGTTAAAGTCTCCTGGGGGAAATCTTTCAGTTTTCTTGTATAAACCTAAGATTCAACCTGGTTTCTTTGGGGGGTTCCTAGCATGCCTGATCCAAAACCTTTGTATGAAATGGCCAAACATGGTCACTCTGCAGGGCTACATAACCTCCATAGACTCCTTCTAAGGTAACTCCATCGCATGCGTGTGCGATAGCAGCCGGCATTTGGGATGAGATTTCCAGCTTTGGGGAGACAACATGTATTCCCAGCAGAGAATTCTTGAAGGAGACTGCTCGTCTGAAGGAAACCAAACATGAGCATAAATTGTATGACATCTTCGAGAAGTACAATCTTATTGCAAAGATCCCCATGACTTTGGTGAACTTGGGCACAACAGCGACGAAAGATCATCCAGTTCTGACACCCAAGGATTTTATTTCGTTCTTGTCTGAGCAAAACAAGTTGGACTTACTTTTCTGTGGCCACACTGGGGTCGACTATATGGACTTTTGGGCGCATTATCGTCTAGTCGAGGGAGATCACCCGGTCTTTCAATTCCACAAGCGAAGGCTTAGCTCTTGCATACCAATCTGGATTTTTGCGGATGAGGGAACCAGCCAGAAAAAAAGGCGTTGCTAATCATGGAGTTCCAATCGATCCTTGGACATGGCAGCAGACGGGCAGAGGATCTGAATATGTCTGGCATCAGTGTGACAACACGATTTCTATATTCGGTCTTGTCTGGGAAGGTTTATGCTGGCAAAAAAAAAGAGACAGGAACCCTTACACAATCTTGTGATTTTTTTTGCTCAACACGTGGGCAGCTCATTCCATGAGCCAATTGCTGTTCGTGGTGTTTCCTGGACGGAGAACATATATCTTGTTTGCGTTGGCATGAAGGGAGACCTGGCTGCCTTGGTTAAACTAGGGCACCTGGAGAGGAACTACATGAGAGATACGGTTTCTGGAGCAGGCGCAGGCATTTGCCACTTGTGTTGTGCTGGACAGGCAAATCACAGCTATCATCAGACCGACTTTGATTCCATTGCAAAAATGAGGAGGGGTGCGCCGCTACCATGGAAGGATGAGCCGAGCTTGCTTACTTATATTCCGCACAGTCCATCCCACAAGGCTAACTTTTTCGAGCTGGACATGTTTCACATCCTGCTCAAAGGGGTGTTTGGTGACCTCGCCGCGAACGCTGTAGTGGTTCAGAAGCTTCTAGTATAGATTTGTTTGGTTGTTTTGAATTGTGTTTGATTTTTTCAATTGCTTTAAAGGAAAAAACCTTAGCACAAAATGGGGATGTAAGGTGACATGCTATGACCTCGAAGTTTTTGGGGCTCTTTCTTTGGAGAAGTTGCTGCAAGCGGTCTATGACGATGCTTGTGCCTACTGCCGCGAGCACAGGCTGCAACTGCACATGATTGCACTGACCCAAGATTTGTTGGGGATCAAGCGGGCAAGTAGCTACCCTTCTGCGATTCTCAGCTACATTGCTTGCAAGTTTGGGGTATGATACTTCGAAGCTATATAGGATAGCTTTATGAATGTTTTCCCACCACCAAAGACAATCCAGGTCCTGGTTTAAAGGAGCTGACACGTCCACATTATGCATCTACTTGGAAGCCATGCTAGCAGGCACAATCGAATACTTTTCTGGGGAGAATCAACGCTACATCAGCTTCGTTGTGAATGCCCTTGCAGCTGCCAACACTTTCATGAGAACATTGCTTCACGCGGGTCTCTGGTTACTTGACTCGGAAAGAAATGCTGCAATCCATCATGGCCATCGTGTTCTACTTTACTTTCGCAAGCTTGCGTCACTGGCATATAGCTGGAGCATAACACGCTGGAAATTCCAACCGAAGTACCACTTTTTCGGTGAAATTCTCTATGGTCTCGAGGCGGAACGCCAAGCAGATGTCCCATCTTTGAATCCCGTTTCCTACAGCTGCCAACTAGACGAAGACTTTGTAGGAAAGATTGCTGCAGCCAGCCGAGTTGTCTCGGCAAGGACATTGCATACCCGAACCCTGCAACGCTATTGCGTGCAACTACGGATGAGCTGGTAAGTGTGGGTCCCAGTGCTCCCTTCTATAGAGCACAACAAGCTTAAATTCTAATCCCATTCCAAGCACTCGGTCCTGCATCAGCAAAGCTTCGTGACCGTGAGCGCCCGCCACCAAGGAAAGGCCAAGAAGCTTGTGGTTCTTTGGGGGTTTAGGGTTTGTGGGTTTAATCTGATTGCAGATCGTATACGAATTGAGGCCCTTCGAAGATCCCAATCCCTTTCTACATAAACCAGGTTCTTCATGACCAAGATACCAAGACCTTCATGATCCCACTTGAAAAGCCACACTTTAAGCAGTGCCTGTTTTTACCTTGAAAACCATACACTAAGGATCAGTGCCAGCTTTTTCGGTCACTAGGATTTCCAGGTAGGGGTACCAACATGGGACCTACATTTTGGGAGCTCCCCATATGCAAGATCTAGGACAATATCATAATATACCATAGGCGATACCATAATGTACCATAGGTTATAGTCCTCCTGAAGTAGACATGGCTTTGGCTAAATAATAAGATCCCCATATACCTCATATTCTATCCACTTAAGGGGGACTATATACGTGGGTCCTGTGGGTCGTGCCAGCATACCCTGAAGGAGGTTCCGAGCATCCTGCCCGCCCGTCCAGAGAGAGGGGCTCATAGCAACACATGATGGCCTAAGCGCAACATTGAACCCAAACCCCAAATCCTAATTAAACTCTAAATCCTAAACCCTGAACCCTAAATCATAAACCCTAAGCCAGAAAGCCAAGGTCTGCAGAGTCTGCAGGCAACTACGCGTTCAATGACGGCTTGCATACAAATGGTATTTTTCCTCAATAGGCGGACCCCAGTGTAGACCTGCATCTACTACAATGCTGTTGCTGCGGACTCTAAAAGTAGTTTTCATAAATAGGGGATCCAAAATTACATATGACAATCCTGATTGAATGGCACCCTGAAATTGGACCCTTAAGTTTTGAAAACCCCAAGATGAAGACATTGGAATTCAATTCCAATAGCAATTGAACGAATTCTCACTAAAATGGAATGTGCCAAAACTGGAGGAGCCGTCCTGGTAAAACTGGACTGATAGACATGCGTTTTCAAAAACAATGTCACGACTTTCGGAGCAATTGAAGTGGGAACCGCAGATATCATGGCTGATGTCATTGTAGAATGGCTGTGCATGATAGAAGCAAATCCGTGGAATGCAAGATTGCAGGGGCTCCATCATTGCAGTACCAATATGATTTCGCGATCTACGTCAGGTCCCCTACATCGAGAATATGCAAGGAATCTATGACCACGGTGTTGATAACTGTTCAGGCTTCCACAGTAACCTTGATTTACGAAGCTCCCATAATATGTGCAATTTGCGTGCCAGCAGGCCACTGCAGACGTTGAGTGATGCCTCAGCCTCTTCACTTCATGCTCTGCTTCGAGCAAGACACAACAAAGTGTAGAACTACAGAGACCACAACAAGAGCAACGCACATGCCCCAGCTTTGCCGCTGCTGGACCACAACACCGGTGTTCTGGCGGGTAGCCTGAGTTGTTGTAAGGAACTTAGATGAAGCCACCATGATATGGATACGTGGATGTGTACATAACAGGAACCCAGCCTCTATCTAAGCCGAGTCTCACTTTTCGCTTTTAATTTCATCTTCCATTTGATTCTCCATCATCCTAACCGTAGGTTCAGTTCCGGAATATGGCGCTAAGATACATAATAGAGTGTGAAACTCCAGTTGAGTTCCTGAACATCAACCCAGTCGCGAGAGTGATGAGCTGTGAGAGCGTTTTGAAGGTCTGCCTGTTCCTTACTTAAGTCTCCAAGGGTGTGCGGAGTGATTGTAGCGATACTACTACAAGAGATTATACAGGGTCGATGGTTTAGTGGTTAAGGCTCAGGTGTAGGATTACTTACCGGAAATTCTGCAGGAGTTCTTCTGGGGATCAGTGGCTCCCACTACCCCTTACTGCACCCTACACCTCCTGTAGTATTTTCCACTTTTTCCAACCTCCCCCACCCCTCTCTCCCCTCTGAATGCTAGTAAGGTTCACGCTGCTGCTTGCCGCGCTGTCACTCATGTAGTTGGCAATTGCGAAGACATGCTGGGTGTTGGCTGCCTTCCTGATGCTCTCCAAAGCCCCCTGAAGGTCTCCGGGATCCGAAGCATTCATCATAACTGGATTACCTAGGAACCCGCAATTAAAAACACAAGCTGTGCTAGTGATATAGTGCCTGTAAAGCTCGTGATAAATGTATTGGTGCTGATAATAAGCAGAGTCTAGTAACTGTAGTTTTGAGAAACTCATGGTAATGGTGAAGGGAATGTCAAACGCAGCCCTAATGAGTTGTCGTGGTAAACACGCAAATAAGAGAATATGTCATAAACACATTTTTTGCGAAACTACCACCTTCAGCTCTTCATGAGGCTTTGCGTGGCTGGAGCGGAAGAGGAACTTGTCCCGGTGAGTTGCGAGGACGACAAAGGGGAAGGTCACTTGCCCGTTTGAGGCATTCTTCATCACCTGGGAAGTTTTCAAAACGGGGAAGCTTTGGTAGGATCTTTGAGGCATTCTACATCCCCTAATCTCTAAACACGGGGTATCGTATGGAGACCTCTTGGGGTACTTCGGGATTATGTGGGGGACTCTGGTATGCCTACCTGAGATGATATATGGTGTACCTGCAACACCTGGACCCTAAACTTCAAATCCTACAGCCTGAAGTCCAGACTCTAAACCTTTTATCCTAAACTCTGAGCTCTACAGCTCTAAATCCTGAACCCTAAACCATGATCCCTAAGGTATATTTCGAGAACCATCCACCTGTGCAACTGCAGCGAGGTAGCCGTACATCTCCTCTGGCTGATCCCTCCAATGGCAAAGTGACATCAACCTCGAGGAAGGTATACCGAATTTTGGGTGTGGGGGATTCGGGGCTTCGGGTGGTTGGTTTAGGGGTTTGCAGGTGGTTGGTGTAGGGTGTGGGGGGCAAAACAGATAATTAGAATAGTGGAGAATCAAATGGAGAAGAACATGGAAACTGAAACGGACACATATGGAGATAATACAGGAGTTGTGATGTAGGGCCCTAGAGAATCAAGCAAGACAGGTGTTGAGGTATACCATAGTACATTTTCTAGAAGCAATCTAGCGGAAATATTCCGATTGTTCAGGCTCCTCAGTTCCTCATGCTTAGTTGGGGATGGGGCTTAGCCTAGGCCTTAGGCTTAGGGCTTCAAGTTTGTGGAATCACCCTTACTCCGCTAAAAATAATACCTTCCCAGCCGACGGGTTGGCTGCATGGGACGCTGACCCCTCTTGCTTGGTTCTAAATACTATAAAGTTGCGTTCTAGGCTGAGTTAGGGATAGCGCCATGAAAAAGAATATGCAAGATACCAAAACATGCGAAGTTTAGAGCTCAGCTCTTTGAGATGGTGGGCAATGAGTGGGCAATGGGGGGAATAGAAAAGGGAAGCTAAACGTTATTGAGGCCCAGCGTCGGGATCTGGGTTGGTAGTGCGGGAACAAGAAACAACGGAAGTCAGCATCTTGTGCAGTTGTAGGGCTTAGAGTCTAGAGATTTCAGGGTGTAGGGCTGAAGGTTTGGGGGCTTGGTTGGATTGGAGGAATGGATCTCCTAGGTAGTCCCCATGCATTTGCTATTATGGCCCAAATAAGAGTCCCCACAGTCCATTCCCACAGTCCCAAGCCATTAAGCAAGTGTGAGCAACAGAATGGCTGCGTGGGGAGGCTCTTGGAAGTAGCACTGACGCTTTGCGAAATCTCGGCGGCGGGCGCCATCATCAACAGCTCCTGCCAGCAAGGCCTGCAACGCCTCCACCGCATCAGTGCTCATATTGGGCAGAGCAGGTGTGTCAACCAAGCTAAGGCCCTTCATGCGCACAGTCAAGGTCTCTTGGGTGTTCTCCGCTGAGCCAGCAGGAGCCGTGTCCAGCTGGTCATTGACCTCCAAATTAGTGGCACAGCATCGGTACACATGGTTGATGAAGCTAGACTTGCCGTGGTGATTCGGCCCCACAACCAGAGCGCACAGTTGCCTTCCACGAGCCTGCCGAAACACATCAAGCTCAACTGAGAGATCCCTCATGTGCTTTTCCAGGTCAGCTTTGCCATCATCCGCTGACAGCCCATCATCCATCGTGATCTGTGCCCTCACGGCATCGCTGCGCCTGTCTGGGTCATCCGCACGTGCTGCCTCCACGGACACTCTTGCAGTAAAGGCCAAACTTTTTTTTGGATCATCGCGGGCGCCGAAATGGAAGGCAAGCCCTGAACATTTGATGGTCTTGGTCTCCTCTGGCTCGAGCATGGGTGTTGTAGGATCAAAGTACTCCACCTTCACGTGGAAGATGCAAGCATCAGGCTCAGGGTGTTTCCACACCAGCACCAGACTCCGGTCTGTGTGCGTGTTGACCATCAGCCCTGAGGGCGGCGCTGGCATGGCCATGTTGCAGCAGAGCCCTACCCAAACTGTAGTTGACCTGACCTGGCTGGCACGGCTTTCAGGTGGTAACAAGAGTCAAGCTCATGACGCGATATCACAGAAACACGGAGTACAGCTCACTCAGCAGGCAGAGCACAGAGAGAATCATGTGCCTTTTCTGTCCGTCATTTGTCTCAACCATAGCCAGAGGTGCGGCATGCTTGTGTTGCGTGCACCTCATTCTGCGTAAGTCAGCCGTGACAGTCAATTGGCATGCCGTACTACAGCAGCTGTGCCAAGATCAATGCGGTCATCCATCTTGTGGAACACCCCAGAACTGCCCTATACAACGTTGAAACATGTTATAGAAAGCTCGGGAGCTGCCTTGCAGCAGCTGAAGCTCATTGGCCAAGCGCTGAACTTCTTCCCTTGCTTCATCACGCTCGAGTGAAACTTGCTCTAACTTGCTGGCCCACATCTGACCCACCTCCCTCGCTTCATCAAGCTTGTGTAACATTTGCTCAAACCTGCTGGCCAACTGTTGGTTCTCGTTGCCCAAGCGCTGGTTTTCTGTGCGTAGCAACACCATGCCCCGTAGGCATAGCAACACCAGGCTCACTAGGCAGCAAGCCCCACAGGCCACATACAGCTTTCCAAACCTCCGTTCCGGATCTGCCTTCACGACAGCTTGGCTGGAATGAGCTTCCTTTGCCAGGCTGACAGTTCCTTCCTTGCACCAAGCTACCTGTGGATTGAAGCCATGCCAAACACGAACACTTCCGCCACCTGCATGGCAAGATTAAGGTTCCGCGTCTATAGGGCTTATAGGATTTAGGGACAGGTGGGGGGCATCTGCGCGCAAAGAGCGAGGAATCTTTCTTCTGAACCTCTAAAAGCCAGAGGTCAACCTATGACAAACACACCCGGCAAAGGGGCAGCAGCCCGCTTTTGGCAACTATCCACATACAGAGCAGTGACTTGCGTTCGTTGGGCTGGGGCTCTAAGTCCATGGCAAATGCCTCCTTTGGGCTCCAAAGTCTGGGCTACAAATAACAGGCCTGTATGCCAGGCTTTGAGGCCGCCCCACACATGTAAAGCATATAAACCCTAACCCCTCGCAGGCCCTCGCACCCTGAACCTTGATACTCGAAAACCCTGTAGGCACTCAAGTCTAAACCTTACAAACCTAACACCCTAAACCCGAAAGAAAAAAAAAGCCATACCCCGAGGCCCTTTCACTGTTAAGCCCTGACCCATTACACCCTACTTCAAACGTTTACGTACCTGATAGCATACACTTTGCGAAAAAGTACTAATGTTTTGGGGTAAGCTCCAGTACCAAAGGTGGCCATCGAAAAGGGCGTGGTGGCCAATATTTCGGCATCTTTTCGTTTCTTCAAAACTTGAATCCTAAACCCTGAACCCTCCAAGCCACTAGCCCTAAACCCTGGGCCTTAGACCCTAGACCCTCAACCCTACTCTAGGTACTCTGCACCAGCCTGTCGGCCAAAACGAGCGGAAGGCTTTTCTCACGTGGTCCGATGCTTGGAGTGGGCCGTCCCATGGCCAACCCTCTCCTGAGGATATGGGATTCAGGGTTTGGGGTTTTGGCTTTAGTGTTCATGAAGGGTTTAAGGTGAAGAATTTAGGTGTGGGGTTTAGGATGTACGGTTTAGGCTTTAACTTAAGGGTTAATTAAGGCTTGAGGGTTTGGAGTGGAGAATTTAGGTTTCACAGAAGATAAGCGATGCGTTGCAGAATTGCTGCAGATTAATGTCTCCTTGAGAATATGCACGTATATAGACTGATACATATGAACATAGACGTTATACGGGTTAGGAACCCTAAGCACTAAAGCCTACACTCTAAACCCTACAAAATAACCTTCAACCCCTAAACCCTCCACCCCCAAAAACAGTCTTCATCGGCACTCCCAAGTCTCGAGCCGTGGCACAGGTTGGAGACACCACGAAATTCCTGGGTTTCAGGGTTGAGGGTTTTAGGGGTTTAGGGTGGATGGCTTGGAGTTTCGGTTTGAGGGTTTTGGGTTTAGTGCTGAGGGTTTAGGGTTGGAGGTTTAGCGCGCTTTTCCAGGGCGCTTGAGCTTAGGCTTCGCTAGGGTCCAGGATTTAAGGCTTAGGGCTTTGGGTGATGCGAGGGAGATTCCTGGAACAACTAACCCAAGGTCCAAAACCCTATACACCCTAAGCCCTAGACCCCAGGCCCTAAACGTCAAGCTTCAAGACCTAAACCCCTAAACCCCAGAACCCTCAACCCTACACCCATTTGGGAGGGTGAGGTGCAATTCACCACTTGGGGCTTGAGTTGCAGGAACGTCATCATCAGGAGAGGCTAGGTGAAGCAATCCCATACATTCCCCTAAACCCTGAATCCTAAACCATAAATCCTAAATCCTAAACCCTACACCCTGAATTTTCAACCCTGAATGCATACTATGCTCTAGTGGCTGTTCAGTAAGGGCTTCAGGTTGAAGGAAGACGCGAGGACCCTTGAGACCTCTCAGATGAAAGTTTCGGCCCACATAAGCCCAATCAAGCCCAAAAGCTTACTGGGGCTTGAGAGGCATTGGTAAAAATATAGATACTGCTTTCAAGGGTGAGATCCTGATTGACTATTGCAGTATCCACCAGCATCCGCTCTCTTGAAGTACTGTAGCGAAAAAATAATTCAAGGTAGTATATGATAGAAGCAGACCGCAGCAGACCTAGCACTACACGAGCAAACCCTCTGCAATGCAGGCCCAGAATCAACTCTAAACCCTATATAACCAATTATAGTAGTTTCCATGTTCTTTTCCATTATCCCTATATAACCCCAATATTACCCCAATATAAACCCTTAAATCCCAAGGCAATGCAGGCCCAGAATCAACTCGAAGCCCATCCTATCGCGAAGATGCGCGCAAAGCTTCACATGCCGTGGACAGTGCTCTGGATCAAACCTTGGCGGCTTAGGGTTGAGGGTTTAGGGCTTAGGGTTTGGGGTTGGCCCTAAACCCTAAACCTTGGGATTGAACATCTTCTCTTGCTGGTGGGTAGGAGGGAAGATGACCTTCGGGTTAAGGTTAACTGGGCTTGATGATCTTAACAACAGGTTCAGATATCCATGTAGTTTGTGCTAGGGGCCCACATGGGCTCCTACATAGCCACTCGGGGCCATATTATGTATATATATATATATGTACATATATGAGACTTGGCCTAAATCTAAATCTACTGGTATACCAGAACCTTTACTACAACAGGAACTCCACTATAAGGAGCCGTACTTTTGATGACTTTAGAAAAACCATATGAGCTATAGTCTGAACTCCGCGTATCTCCCTCAGTAACCCTTTTACAGTCCCCTTTTTAACCACCCTTTAAGGAGTTTAGATTATGCCTGATATGCCCTAAAAGCCTTTGGGCTTTACTTCCTGGCACAAAGGAGCTTCAGTCACCCCCTCCCCGCAAAATGAAAACCCCCACCTCCTAGACCCCCTTCCCCGAATGTTAAGTTTCCCACTGTGGCGTATTACCAAATATTGAAAATGTTTAAGGTAGGGGGGCGCGCGTGGCCTTCATGTTCGTGTGAAGGGCACAACAAGATTGAGCAGTTTTCTTCAAGGGTTCCAAAACGACGCAAGGAGAGCAGCTCCTAGGCTTCTCAGAATATGGAGGCCCCTGGGAGAATATACGAGGTCTTTCAGAAACCCTATCCCTAAGGCTCCAAATAGCCGAATATAGGTCATATTTATAGACTTTGGGGCCCGATGTAGGGATTATTTATAGACATGGAGCCC